GGTACCTCGTATATCTCGTATATCTCGGTGCGCCTAGTGGCTGCAAGAGTTGTATGCTCCCAAGGGAGTTGAGATTGACAATACGATGTGCCGTTGAGATTGACATCCAGTGAACCAGGGAAAAACAAAGCGCCTTTGAGCAGCTGAGCTGAGCTGGATATCGGCTATACAAATGTTAGTATGTATGTATAAATCAATATGACCATTCTACCTAAATGTTTTGATTTTCAGTCATGCACATCATCTTCCTGTACAGCTCAGTGAGTGAGTGAATGAGTTTAGTCTTACGCCGCTTTTATCAAAATTACAGCAAATATACAACACAAAATGTCATAGTGTAAAAACAAAATGTATTTATTGTGTGAAAAATAAAACGAGTGTCAAAAGTACAGAAGCTCACCTATATCAGGACACAACCCAGTGAGCACAAGTTTCATATGACTTGCGCTAAATCTTAAGAATTGTGATCGCACTAAAACCCTACAACAGACATACTATTTTAACCTAAAACCCAATTTGTTGTATTGATATGTATCAACAGAAATTTAAAAAAATATTTCAATGGAATTCACAAAACATGAGTAGAAGCATAACAGAGATGTACCAAGAATTATTTAAATTGATAGTATTTTATAATTTGGAAGTGCAAAAATTCATGATGCACAAGTATTGAACACATATTAGAATTAACATGAGATCAAGTATTAACACAATGTAAAATTTATATATCATACAGAAGTATTAAATGTGAAGTATAAAATACACAAAAATAATTATAAAATTCACAACCATGAATTTCTGAGGAAGAAAATAACATCTGGTTTAAAACAAACAGTACCAGTCAACAAAGATGAGCAAAATTAACAATACATCCCCAGATCAACACAGGAAAATAAACAATTAAACTTTCCCAAATATGAACACTATCTGTGGTTGCCAATGCCTCCATTTTGTGTAAAACAATATCACGTTACACCTACATGAAATAAATCAAGGCAAGGAAAAGAAAAGAAGTTGGTGCATCATTTCATTGCAAGACAAATAAGGTCACTTATGATGTAAAATAACTGAGGACATATTCAAAATAGTTTCTCAAAGTAACGTGAATACTTTACCTATCCTTCAAATGAGGCTATTGCCTTGATCTTTCTGTAACTGACAACTGGAATGTACAATCACTATAAGTAACCATGGTAACAAATTGTGTCATTTATAACCAGATTTTACCTGCCACAGTATGCCAAATGACAAACAGAACTGGGTTAAAAGTATGCAACAAAATATATGTAACACACAAACAACTGACAGACCAAAGCTAAGAAATACGTCACAAACATAACATAACCTCACTGGGTATAATAAAATCAGTTGCTAGGATACCAGGGCGTTACTGACCAGATGCAGGGGTTGAAGTGACTTTAAAATTGCTAGTGTACTCCGGAACAGTGGCACATGTAAAATCACTTGCCCTGATAATTTTTTCACTATATCGGCCATTTCCTTGTTGATCTTTTAAAATAAACATAAATAACATTGGAAAGTCAACTGGACACCAGTACAGTGTGATATACAAATTTGCTTCCCCGACAGAAAAAACACTGGGCTCAGGCGTCGGGCAATGGGTTATTTCCACTAGAGCTGTGTATCGTGGCCTAAGTGGCGAGACGATATATCCCGATACTAGTTTAATGAGACAAGACGATATATCATGAAAGTATTGGCAAGGAACCTGCGAGACGATTATCATCACGATACAGTGATGGCGATATGATACTTATCCCGATACTTTACAATCCTAAAAACAGGACATATATGATAGATAAAATGACCGAATGACACACACTTAAAAGGCTGTTCATGTAATAAAGTTTCAGCATTTAATGCTTAAGAAAGTACAATCAAACATATTCAGTATGCCTTGCTCTAGGTTTCCCTTGGAAAGTTGTGTTTCTGCACCAATGCTTGCACTGGCAATGTATGCAGTAATTTATACCAGAATCACTGCAAAAAACTCATAAGTATGCTTTCTAAATTTTATCTTCTCTTTCTTAACAAAGCTAAGACATTGTTCATAGTTGTTAATAAATGGTGTTTTTTGTCAAACAACTAAAACATGTTTCAATTACTTAAAGACAAGTCTTTACAGTTCACAGAGATTGTTCACATGCTTTCACTGATACACTTACTCCTTTGTTCATGTAACAAAGATGGCAGACACAAACAAATTCCTTTAAGGTTCAGTTTGTTTTTAAAATTCAGAAAAATGTCAAAGAGACTCCCTTCCTATTACTTATGCAATACTCCCTACAACTTTAAGTAATATTTAAGTAGTATCGGGATATATCGTCTCTTGTGGCGATACATCGATGTATCATGGACCCTCGCGATATAAATATCCTGATATATTGCCTAAACGTGTTTTGTATCGATGCACTCGTATCGCGTAGTTGACGATGCAAACATCGATACTATCGATGAATCGTTACACCACTAATTTCCACCCCTGAGATGGTTCATGATCATGTGACTGTCATTTGTCAAATAGTTCGTGATCATGTGACTGTCATTTGTCAGATGGTTCGTGATCATAGGTTGGTGATGATGTGACTGTCATCTGTACTATAGTTGGTGATGATGTGACTGTCATCTGTACTATAGTTGGTGATGATGTGACTGTCATCTGTACTATAGTTGGTGATGATGTGACTGTCATCTGTACTATAGTTGGTGATGATTTGACTGTCATCTGTACTATAGTTGGTGATGATTTGACTGTCATCTGTCCTATAGTTGGTGATGATTTGACTGACATTTGTACATTGGTTGGTGATCATGTGACTGACATTATTCAAATAGTCGGTCGTGAAGTGATTGACAAGAGCTTGGTGATCATGTAACTGACATTTCTACAGTGGTTGATGAGCATGTGATTAACATTTAATTGATATACACAGAAGCAATGGAAGTGTACATTAATCAGCCTTAAAATTATTTTTTTTCACAATATTCATGGTAACTGGTGTAAACTTGACTTCACTAGTGCTTAGAGTTTGTAGCTGGCCTTCCTTGAACAAAACAAAAATGTCCAGAGGCCCAGATAAGCTGCGTATCCGGGTAAAATACGCATAGAAAAAATAATTGTTGCGCACCAATTACGCATGTAAAATGTTAGATACCCAAAAAGTTTAAAACAAATGCATACGGAATATATTTATAAAAATCACTTGCGTAATGAAAAAGACATCGATTGCTATCAAGTTGTACTGTTAGTATAGGACTTGTGTTGTACTGTCAGTATAGGATGAGGGAATTTTTATGAAATCATTTCCATTTAAGTTGGTTTTGATTAGGTATGACATAAGGCAGAACATACCTGCTTAGTAAACTTACTCAATGACCTATACTTAGGTGAGCAAAATGACTAAAATACGCACATATTTGAAAGCAGTGGGTAACGGAAAATGAAATACCCACTCAACATCCATAATACTCACTCCATAAAAATACGGTGGGTACAGTACCCACATGATCTAAATCTTATCTGAGCTCTGAATGTCTACTATGTTTACATTTTTGCCAATTTTTAGTTCCACTTTGAAGCAGATTTTAGAACTAGTTCAGAATTATGGCCCTAAATGCTATTAGTGAATGGGGACTCATTATATTTTTACCTGTCCCCAACACAATCTCATAGATGCGGCCAGCAGACCAGCATGAATTTCAAAGACTGTGATAATGATGTAAACCAAAGCAATGGGTGCAGAAACACTTTGAACACTATAGTGACATAATACAATATATATGACTGGTAGCGGTGACTTTACTGTATACAGATATCAGAGCAACTGAGCACTGAATCTATTGAAGGAGATTACTTCAAGACACATGGTACAGAATGTACAGACTTTGGCTCTGAGTGTTAAACATTGCACTTAGTCCTGATTAAACAATAGGGATGTCAATCAACGTATTGCAGGTACACCCTCGATGATACTAAACATAATTAACCTATCGGTCTGGTTCCTGCCTGGTCTTTGTTCCTATTTCAGCTTTCAAATTCAGGAAAATTTTGCTGCAATCATCTCCATACTCAAACATAATCCTGGCTGAAGATCAGCTCCATTTTCAATAATAATCAGGGCTGAAGATCATCTCCACTTTCAAACATAAACCTCGCTGAAGATCATCTCCATTTTAATTACAGTCCTGGTCAAAGATCAGCTCCAATTTTGATTGTTGTCCTGGCTGAAGATCATCTCTATTTCTAATTATAGACTTGGCTGAAGATCATCTCTATTTCTAATTACAGTCCTGGCTGAAGATCAAATCTATTTCTAATTACAGTCCTGGCTGAAGATCATCTCTATTTCTAATTATAGACTTGGCTGAAGATCATCTCTATTTCTAATTACAGTCCTGGCTGAAGATCAAATCTATTTCTAATTACAGTCCTGGTTGAAGATCATCTCTATTTCTAATTATAGTCCTGGCTGAAGATCATCTCTATTTCTAATTATAGTCCTGGCTGAAGATCATCTCTATTTCTAATTACAGTCCTGGCTGAAGATCATCTCTATTTCTAATTATAGTCCTGGCTGAAGATCAAATCTATTTCTAATTACAGTCCTGGCTGAAGATCATCTCTATTTCTAATTATAGTCCTGGCTGAAGATCATCTCTATTTCTAATTATAGTCCTGGCTGAAGATCATCTCTATTTCTAATTATAGTCCTGGCTGAAGATCATCTCTATTTCTAATTATAGACTTGGCTGAAGATCATCTCTATTTCTAATTATAGTCCTGGCTGAAGATCATCTCTATTTCTAATTATAGTCCTGGCCGAAGATGATCTCTATTTCTAATTATAGTCCTGGCTGAAGATGATCTCTATTTCTAATTATAGTCCTGGCCAAAGATCATCTCTATTTCTAATTATAGACTTGGCTGAAGATCATCTCTATTTCTAATTACAGTCCTGGCTGAAGATCATGTCTATTTCTAATTATAGTCCTGGCTGAAGATCATCTCCATTTTCAGAGGTGGTACTGAAACCATCTTGGAATGTACATCCATAGCTTTATCTCAAAAAGTGATCTCACATTCTCAGCAACATAAACATTGTATCTCCATGGATGATATGGGTCATATAGCTTTGGCAGTGAGGCAGGTTGTGAGATGACCTGGTTCATCTGTAGCATGTATAGTGAAAAATAACAGATTCATGTTGCATTAAAATGTACAATACCAAAATGGTCAAAAAGCTAAAGTGCACTTCCTGTAAAACTCAAAAAATGTCAAAGGTTCCAGATTTAGGTCTACACACCAGAGTGGCAAGTTTTGTTTAGTTGTGGCTACGAGCTTGCTGTAGGACGTACTTCCCAATGTCTGCGTACATCCCAGTGGCAGCAAGCAGTGTTTCCTGGTCTGAAAACACGTCTGGGTCTGGGGCAGTCCAGTGGACCCCATTTGTCTCTGTCTTCCAATTGAACGGTGAAGAATCTCCAAAATCACTTAACTCCTCTTTGTATCCTGCCCTCCATGTTGGATGACAGTAACCATCGAAGCAGATGACCTGCAGATGTTTGTCAACATGGACACTATCAGGGTGCTGCTCATATACCTTGTAGGGCATGTGGATAGCGTTGTACGACCAGTCACTATCCACATAGTGGCGGAAAGACTCCATCATGAACTGAAGAAATGTTGCTCCTTGTTTAGCCGCCATCATGCCCATGTTAAATGTGTCAGGGTAATGGCCTGTCAGGGGCCAATCCACACATAAAAGTGTCTCATATTTTCTCTGATCTTCTGACAATGGTTTCACCAAAACCACATCCCAATCCAAGTAAACACCTCCATATCTTAAAAGAACATCAACTCTCACAACATCACTGGCATGAGATGGAACTTTCACCTCGTTTCCAAACACAGAGTGAGGGAATTCTCGAGAAATAAACTTCACCTGAGGCAGATCCTTGACTTCGTCCCAGTATGTTCCTTTTGGTTCCTTATTTCCATGAATGTATATCTTTTCTGCTTTCTGGACATACAAAGAGCTGAGGAGAGACAACTGATTAAAGAATGTCATGTCTTTATCTCCAAACCATACATAGTGTACAATGTTCGGGATGAGGTCCTTCTGAGGCATGGCAACCAGGGACTCTTTCTGACCATATCCAACAAATCGTGCCAGTTCACCGAAATCATTCTGCAGGTGAAAGATCTGGTGAGGGTAGACTTCCTTGGGGACAATAACACAGGGAAGCTGTTGGTTCAAGAAGGTGGTGTTGAAGGAACACTGGATGTTTGTAGGTATAGTTAAAACAGATCTTTTGGTGTCCTTTTCTAACGCATTTGGTGACATCATCAGGACTCCACTTGATGCAAAATTAGTTTCCACATGGTTCAAAGATATTGGTTTGCTCATAAACTGTAGGATATTTTCAGAAAGAACAACATTCACACCAAGGACAATACCACCTTGCTTGTTTAACATGTCAGAGATAGATTCCAGTGATTGGTGAGAATCTTCATGACAGGCTCTACCATCTGACAATGGTTCGGGAAACAAATTGGGCAAATCTCTCAAGAGGTCTTCAAAATATTGGTAATAAGCGGGGTCATCCCTCTGTGGTAGGCTGCGGTAGTGGAATATGATCTCACTGGGTTGGAGCAGTTTGTACGCACTGAGGACACTCAGATAATGCTGGAACTGGAAGTTTCCCTTTTGACACCAAAAGTAGTGGACAGTTGGTGGAACAGAACTACGGAGAGTGTCCTTGACCTCCTCACCCGACCTTGACCTAAACGAGATGAAATGGTGATCTGGGAGTACATTGATGAAACCATGCTTCCAGTTTTTCCCGTCTGTGGGGTCGGTGAAGATGGTGCAGCTGTTGAAGTAGACGATGATGTTGAGTATTAGGAGGAGGAGGAGGCAGTAGGTCCATGTCCGTGTCTGGTAGAGCCAGCTGATGTTGGTGAAGTACCTCACCACCCCACACAGACCTTGTCGCAACACTCTTCTCATCGTATCCACCCCAGTCTATCTGTCCAAAACAAAAACACGTATTAGTTGAACAAAACTAAACTGGCAAACGAACAATCCATTTTCACTGAGAACCTTAACGCATTCATTAAAGCTCACATAAAACACCAGTGAATCCCAACATCAATTACACTAAAAAAATACCCAAGTCTCAACAGATAGGGGAGTTCAGATAGTCTGGGTTTTCAGTTAATGCAGATAACTGTATTAAGTTTGAATAAGTGATTTGGGTTCAATGTCACTGTCAACAGTATTTGAATAACAGGGTGTGTCAGCTCAAAACCTGATGTAATGCAGGATATTTTCTATTTTTTGTGTGTGAGTGAGTGAGTTGGGTTTTACACGGCTTTAAGCAATATTCCAGTTATATCAGGGACACCAGGGGGCGGTGGGGTAGCCTACTGGTTAAAGTGTTCGCTTGTCACGCTGAAGACCCGGGTTCGATTCCCCACATGGGTATAATGTGTGAAGCCCATTTCTTGTGTCCCCCACCATGATATTGCTGGAATATTGCTACCAGAAGTCTGCTTCACACATTATACCCATGTGGAGAATCGAACCCAGGCCTTTGGTTTGACGAGCGTCTGCTTTAACCACTAGGCTACCCCACTGCCCATCCATTTTTGAAAACTTGTTAGGATAGTATGGAGCTGACACTGACTGACTGAGTTTAGTTTTACGCCGCTTTTAGCAATATTCCAGCAATATCACGGCGGGGGACACCAAAAATGGGCTTAACACATTGTGCCCATGTGGGGAATCGAACCCGGGTCTTCGGCGTGACGAGCCAACGCTTTAACCACTAGGCTACCCCACCGCCCCATGGAGCTGACAAACCCAAAAACATAATCTCAGCAATTTGGAAGAGAACCCAGCTCCACAGGTTTCATAGCTTCAAGGGAGGCAAACCTGACTCAAAACAAGAGTGAAATGCTGAGTTCTACCCAGATTATCACTGCTGCATCGGTTTGTACTCATGTCATATGAGTATGTCCCATCAGCATTCATAGTTTTGGTTTGTTTGTTGATTAAGGCTTCACTCAGCAATATTCCAGACCCTCCAGATCATTGTTATGTTTGTGCAGATTGTACAAATCGGGTTAGAACTGGTGAAACACACAACGATTCACCAAATAAAAGCTGCAGCCTCACAACATTGCCCTCCATAACATATACTGGCTAGCGACCAATTATCGCCATACCAGTCATCGCCAACACCTGGCTGTAGCACTTGCACAGACATTTTATAACTGGTACCCGGCGATAACTGGTAGCTAGCCAGTAGAAACAGAAACCATATCATTGGATTATTTGATTTCGGATGTCATATATGTTTTCAGACAGCCATATTGGGAAAGATTTCCGCCCGTAACCCCCGTATTTTTTTTAATCATTATATGCCAAAGAATATACGCCTTTGTTTTTTTTATAAACAGCCTATACCTAAACCTAAACCCTAAACATAACCCTAAAATCTAACCACAAACCTAACCCTAAACCCTCGAAATAACCTTAATAAATAGAATACATTCAAGCGGGGGTTACGGGCGGAACTCTTACCCCATATTTATTGCGAATACTAGCCCTATAATGAGAGTTGCGAATAAACACTTGGCATATGTTTGGCTTAGTAAAGATAAAGTTGTCTTGCGTGGAGCTACGATCGCTTTGTGAAACGAGCCCAGGGTCCCGCCGTAACTGCCATACTTTAACATAGACTTACGCCAGTCGTAACATCAACCAGGTGTCCGACCTCGCATCTGAAAGTCGCGGTTCGAATACCATTATGATAATCATCACTATTATCATCTATCACCCGTGTAAAGTAGACAAGTGTAATAGAGACCTTATATTAAATGAGATGAACTCGCGCACCTTCATTCCAAATAGTGGCACTATGTTCGTCAATTAGTTCATGTTCCATTAACAGTTATAACACAAATCCTTGCCACACCAGTGAACACTCATCGCTTATTCAATCAGGAAGTGTTCACTGCATGTCATTTCTGGACTTGGACATCAATCATTCAATATGCATGCATGTCATCTCTGATCGGTATGTCAACATTCACAAAACAAACCTGACAATATATGGGCACATATCACACTTCCCCCTTCTTTGTAAAACGGTAAACCCCAACAAGTGCTGCTGAAGTTACTCCCCTTCGATAAGATCTTTTTGAATGCTATCCACAATCTCCCTGCAGCGACGTTTCGCTCCTTACCTGCACTTTCAACAGCCTATTGTCGTCACGGAGATGACGATGTGGTAGAGTTTAGATGGTTACCCCTTGGGCATCCTGGTTCCCGGGCCTCTCATTGGTTTGTATAAAAACCAATGAGGGGCCCGGGAACCAGGATGACCCCTTGGGGCGTGTTAGGATAAAACTAAGCTGGGCCCCGTCTCGCATATATAGCTTTGCCGAACGTTAGCGCGCGCAAAGGGAGCCCGGAACCAGCTTAAGGATAAAACAGCCTCGTGCCAAAGCGCATCGAAAATCTTTTGCAAAACTGACTCATATCTGAATTAAAAAAATATCAGCCCAATGTGTTTTCGTGTCTTAAAGATCATATAATAGGTATTTACATTCATCCTCCGAGAGAAACGCATACTGTTCACTTAAATATTAGCTCACGCAGTATTTGCAACACTGTTATGTACAGAACGGAAGTATAATCTACTGGACTATGTATTAACTTACGTGCAAACTGGTATTTTTCCGTCAAAGACAGTTTGGCGCAGAATACTTTTAAGTTATATCTTCTCTTATGAAGAAGCTCAATGGAAATTGAGACTCTCCATTAGAGAGGATATGTCCAGATATGCTGTAATCCATCAAACACTGAGTCTACATAGACTTTACACTCTAGATAATGTATCTGTACCCAGAATATAAAGACCATATACAACTTGCTGTACTAGTCGGTTCTAAAGCCAAATTCTCAAAAGAATGTATGCTTTGTAATAAGTACTGCTATGACCACGATGCCCACATCATTTTGCATTATGAATCTGTAATGAGCCAAAGAAATAATTTTTATATTACGCTACTTGACCTACTGGACGTAGAATTTTTGCAGTGCAGACTCTTTCATTGCTGTCACAAACCCTAGTGTGCAGTACACAACCCTGTGCATTCCTATTAGAACCTACGAATCCATTTCCAGATCCCATGATCTTGGCCATTATGAATACGTGCTAAAGTACTGTCGGAAATGCTAGAAAATGCTTTTAACCTTAATACTTTGATAAAGGTGATAAATGTACTATGTTGTCAATATATCAACTCGCCTATAGTGTACCTTAATTTTTATTTCAATCGATTTGACATTTCCATGCATTTAAAGGACAGTTTACAGGAGAGAATTTGATACCAAAACAACAACTCAAGATTTTTCAGAGTTTAACATGAGAAATCTGAAATAGTCTCTTTAAATTTATGCTAATGATACAGGTGGTGCAAAAATATAAATTAACGTTTTCTTTAAACAAATAAAATGTTGAATGTTTGTGTTACTTGAGTTCTTAATGATCGTTTCTTCATTGAAGAAAAATTAATATAAATGTTAAGTCTTAATAAATAAGTTTCCGTCATGCATGCATATCTTTATCACAGCGTTCTGTTTCATGGCCAACTATTTTGCAGTCGATTGTTGCAAAGGTTTATGTAAGTTTTGTGTTTGAGAAAGACAGAGGTAAACCTTTCATTAGTTTAGAAGGGTTTATTACAGAACTCGTAGAGCTGTTGGTATGTTCTTACCAACAAGTTTACAATATTGTAAACAAAGCAGACAAGACGGGGACAGTCCTAAAAGCAAAACTGGGAAGCTATACCAGTGACTTCGTTAAATATTTGGCCAATGTTCACAACTGGATTAAATTGACCGAATTACATCCATATTTTGCAAAGAAATATACTAATGACATGCAAACATTTATTAAAACGTTGTACATTTCTACAATCAATCGATAACATAACACAAGTGATGGGATTCTTTCTCATGCACAATAATCCGTATGTTTATTTCAAAACACACACATACACGTATATATATATATATGATCTAGACGGGATATACATATAGGTGTTGTTGGTGTGCGAAATGTGGATATCGCATGATCCTTACATAACCAATACGTATACTATACGTACACATATTCAACATTATGAAGAAAAAGATGTATTGAGATTACCCTCACCGAGCTTGTGCTCAGGTGTCAATTTCACCTGTCGATACCGTGCATGCTGATGACATAACACAGGCAGTTAATGTTTGTATCAAATAACGTTCCACTAACCCTTATTTTTCTAAGTTTTTGATATTTTCATATGTAAAAACACATTTTAGGGCATGTCTCAAACTTTATTCCCTCGGTCTACATTAGGTAGATGTTTCTTAAAGTGATATTTGTTATTTAAGTAACGGTAATATCTCTGATTTTTACATAAAAGTCAAAAAGCATTTTTCCAGCATTTCCGACAGTACTTTAACACCTAGTTGCGGGTACAGCAACGTGCAGTAAACTTGGACATATTTATAGTACTGTGACTATGTGTCCCAGTCCACCCAGCTGTGAGTGGGTACTTCGTAAGGATGAGAAAGCCACACTAACTCGGTGCGCCTAGTGGCTGCAAGAGTTGTATGATCCCCAGGGAGTTGAGATTGATAATACGACGTGCCGTTGAGATTGACATGCAGTGATCGAGGGAAAAAAAAAAGCGCCTTTGAGCAGCTGAGCTGGATATCGGCGCTATACACATGTTCATATGTATGTTTATTACTTCAATATGCGCGATATTTACTACACAATAATATATACTGTAAGGATGATATTATTCTTATATATAGTGTCATTTATAAAATAACTGGCGTGTAAGACATTATAATTCAGCATAGTAACAAAATAAACTGCATCAGAAAAACACGCCTGAATCAGCCGCCAAATGATCTGAATTTGGATCGACGTCTTTGACAGACAGTAAGCCTGACTGCATTGAAGCATGTATTAGGAAAAAAGGTGATCTGACAAGATACTGAACAGATACCTCTTGGTCTCTTACTTAATATCTAATTAATACAATATTCTCGTTCTCAATAATTTATGGTCAAAATTGATCCACGTCTTCTAAAGTATATTTCGTTTATAGTTTAAAAAAACATGTGCATTGATATGTCTGAAATCTGTTCAGGTATATAACTTAGGGGATGTGTTAATCAGATTATTTAGTCAACCTCGAATCTGCAGGGGGCGGATGGGTAGCGCCTCATTCTAATCTGAAGACTAATTACGTCGTGATTCTGGGTTAGAATAAATCTCCTTGAGTGAGTTTAGTTTTACGCCGCTTTCAGCAATATTCAGCAATATCACGGCGGGGGACACCACACATGGGTTTCACACATTTTGCCCATGTGGGGAATCGAACCCGGATCTTCAACATGACGATCGAACGCTTTAACCACTAGGCTACCCCCTGGGACCTAATCTGGTATCTAGGCCCAGTAAACGGATCCGATTGTCATATTCTGTGACTCTATTGATATTGCATGTATTTGTACCCCGACGGCGTTGATCGTAACTCACAAAATGGATCACTGGATTGTCTGCTCCAGACTCACCGCTGATACGTCACACCGCTGATACGTCACACACAACTGCAAACACCACGCGCCCTATAAAAACAAATGTTACCTTTGCACGGTGAAGAGGTTGAGCATGTAAACCAGGTTACCTTTCAAGTATATTCGTTGAAATCGTTGAATTCGTGTGAATTTCACGGGTCCAAATAACGATTTGATATTTAAAAATATTTTTTCTAAAAGCCGTTCAAACTTAAATGTTTTTTTAAAGTATGAAGTTTACTTCAAGTCTATAAAACGTTAAAATTAAATTTACGAATCGACAATAATTCCCTATGAAAAAATAAAATGAATATAATGTCAGATATAAACGTATAAGTAATGGTAAAATAAATTCGTATACATACCGATATATAAATTGTGGTGGTGTGTAGACCTGTGCATAGAACCCATGTCACAAATCAGCCGAAGTTAAGCAACGTTCGGCGCGGAGAGTATACGTACTTGGATGGGTGACCGTGTTTGGTAGCATGACTCCTGAGAGTTTCTAGGACTACTGTCCTGCCCCACAACAAAGCACATGTGATACATATGGTCTCACCTTAGGCAAATGAGTTAGTTAAAAAATTGCCTCTGTTCAGTGTTCAAAAATGGGTACCCGCTGGGATAAATCATGTGATTATAACGTTCTAGCGCCTAACAGACAGCTTGGGTTATCCGGGGTAATAATGTGTTAGCGCCAAGAGCATGCTTACGAGCGTGGATATGTGCGGATTATAAATATGCAAAAAAATAATATCGTTTTTTGCCAATCCATTTTGGAGCCGTTTTGACGTCGTTCCGTTTTAGCCTGATCCTTAGCGGGCGAACATGTGAATTTTACGGTTACGATCAATTTGGAGTGGTCTCCCCTTAGACCATATTCACTCTCCAGTTTGCCATGCGTGTAGTGACGGACGATTGGGTGTTTCTGCAATGAACGGTTGTCACTGCCGCAAGCGATTTGAGTTAATTATTCATTGTTGGCATGAAGTTTGATTTATGATGTACAAGTTTTATTCATATGTTGTGTCAAATGTTTTCATCGCTGTCTGACGAAATCTACTGAATTATTGCACTGGAGTTTGCAATACCCGGAACCTATACGCCGAACAGCTGAACGTCCGATAGATCTAAAAGTTCTGTCTTAACTTTAGAGATCTCCCATCAGTTGCCATGTTCAGGTCGGGGATAACGGTTTTGCCGCGAGGAGCACGGCACCTGCGGCTGAAGGTAGGCGTGAGGTCACAGGTTGTCTTGTCCGACATCCGTCAGTTCCATACTTCTCCAAGAAGACCGATTCCGCCAATATTCCTGATAATGGTGAAGCCGATCGTGAAGATTGGGGCAGCACTCACAGGAAGGTAAGTTAGTGTCGCTGGTGTAGTTGTTTAACGCTGCACTCAGCAATATTCCATCTATATGGCTGCTGTCTGTAAATAATTGAGTCTGGACCAGGCAATCCAGTGATCAACATCATGAGCATAGTTCTACGCAAATGGGGGAACGATGACATGTGTCAATCAAGTCAGCGACCCTGTCAACCTGATCCTGTTAGTCGCCTCTTACGATAAGCATGGGTTACTGAAGACAAATTCTAACCCAGATCTTCATGGGTAGTCTGCATGACCAAAGAGGTTATTAACCCCCTCAACAAGATGACAAGGCAAGGATGTCATCTTTTGGATGACCCCACTAATTATTGCTACTCTGACATATCAGTAACCTCTTTCCAATAAATAAATATGTTTGGATTAATTTTGAGTCTTTGTTAAGTGGAATTAGGAATTTATGAGCATCAACCCTGCTGTTTTGTTTTGAAGATTTTTTTTTAATTGTGCAAGTCAGATATAATAATTTATGATAGGTCTGCGTCTAAGATACCAGTGTTAATCTCTTACTATGACAAAGTGAAGTCCCTAAAAGGACTAAGTGTATGGGCTGTCTCCAATTTTCTGTAATGGTACAGGGGTGGAAATAACTTTAAAATTGATAGTGTACTCAGTACAGTGGCACATGTAATGTCACTTGCCCTGATCATTTTTTCCACTATACCGACCCGTTTTCCTGCTGAGTTTTTAAATAAACAACATAATTAACATTGGAAAGTCTACTCACTACAACCATACTATTCAACCTTACCCCTCAATTTTATATTCCCTCCACAGAAACTTTAATGACATCTTATGTATCTATATAATTGTTGTAATCTCATGATGTTATATTTATATATATGTATACATGCGTGTATGTATGTGCATATGTATGTATATGTATATATGTATGTGTGTGTGTGTGTATATGTTTGCAATACTGTCTTTTATGTCATATAAAACCTTGCAAAACATCACTGAAGCTATATTCATATATATTTGGATGTTGTCCTCTTTGCCATATGTATTTTATGTGAGACTTGAAATGGAATAAAAAAAACAAAACCAAAAAACCAAAAAAACATTGGAAAGTCAACTGGACACCGGTGCAGTGTGATATACAAATTTTGCTTTCCGACAGAAAAAACACTGGACTCCGGCGTCAGGCAATGGGTTATTTCCACCCCTGTGGTACAGATTTAGATTAATTAATTTAAGTAAAATTAAATGAACAATTTACTAGAAACTGTTAAATTTGCATAATGCAGATTTTACTGTGTGCAAAATATTTTCCCAGGGGTGTCCGTAAATGGTGGCAGAGATTACCAAGTGAGGAGAAGCGCAGTATATGGACGCGTGTGAAGCAGAGTTGGCGGTGTTTGCCGTCATGGGTGGGGCAGGGCTTAGCTGGGGCGTGGTACTACTACCAGTCACACATGGTTGCCATGCATCACCAACAGGAGGAGATTCATGATGTTCACACACGATCAGATGATGAAGATCTCCAAGGCAAGAGCACAGGTGGTATGTAGAAATTGTTGCGATTTTGTTACAAGATGATTATAAAATTGAAATTATTTTTTTTTTAAGAAATTGGTTCTCACAGAATTTGACTGTGAAATAATTAAATGAAAGCTCTTGATAATGATAAATAAGAAAACTATATTCAAACATACAGCCTTAGTTGTAAAAAAGAAGTGGGTTGGATAGGTGGCAGCACCAATAAGAAATAGCTAGACCAAAATATTAATGTAAGTGCTATCAAGAATGTTAACAATTTTGTCACAATCAAGTGTTTAAAACAACCCTGTCTCTGTTTCTAAATCTGTCATTATGATGGAGTGAGTGAGTGAGTTGGGTTTTATGCCACTTTTTAGCAATATTCCAGCCATATCACAGCGGGGGCATCAGAAATGGGCTTCACACATTGTGCCCATGTGAGGAATCGAATTCGGGCCTTTGGCGTGACGATTGAACGCTTTAACAACTAGGCTACCCCACTGCCCCTCATTATGTAGAAAGCTACAGGAATGTTTTCAGGCAGGTATGCTGTTCACACATGGCAAGTAGATATCTGTCAATTTGTATACTTACTTGAGATTTCTATGTTCTCTGACAAGTAGTAAGAGAATGATCATGAAAGATAGATTGAGAAACAACATTACAATAGTGTCAGCAGCTGAAAGAAAACTGAGCAGAAAAAGAACCGCGAATTGTTTCATCTCTGAAAATTAGTGGCAATCTCCATTCACACAAAGAAGAGATGACACCATGTGCCCCCAAAATGAATATTCATGGAAGGCTGGGGACAAGAGTTTGCAGAGATTAAAATGGACTAGTCACCATGGTGCCGTTGTTCAAAGTGATCTAAGGTTACCGTAACTCCCATGCCTTAACATAGATGTATGACTGTCTTAATGCTGAGGCACCTTGAAACAGTATCAGAAAATGTCTTGCCTGAAGAAAAAAGAGAAGAAATATTTTTAAAACCTGGAACAAATACATTTAAAAAAAATGTTACGTCCAAATTTTGATGGTTGTCTTCAAGGTAATACTTGGTCCTTGCATATTCTATATTTAGTCATCGCTTTTGCAGTTTTACTGAACCTCAGATAACTTGAAGTATTTAAAAGATCACTTCACCTTCAATACAACAGTGTTTAACTGTACGTTTCTGAGCATCTTCAATACTCTCTGTTTGGTGATTGTGAATTGAAATTTCTGAGTTCTGTGATGGGATTTGAACCACAGACCTTCTGATCCGAAGTCAGACGTCTTGTGCATATGACCACAGACGTTCACCCCATCAGCAAGTGTAAAGGGTTTGGATGTAATCTATAGGATTACCTCACACAGGGCTATGTAAGCTTTAAGGAAGGAGAGCAGTGCCTATGAATATGTCTGGTCCAGACAGTTTGTAATACAGCCATCTTTGCCAGGAGCTGGATCGGTACGAAGAGCAGCTGATTTCGGTTGAACACCCAGCTTTCCAGAAGATCCTCAAGATTGCTACAAGACTAGTGGAGAGTAACCCTGATCTGATGCAGATGGATGTTGAGAAGTGGCGGATTAGTGTTGTTGATTCTCCAGATGTCAATGCCTTCGTTGTACCGGTGAGTTTTGAAGTACCCTGTAGACATGTTTGGGAGTACCCAGAGGGAGGTTTTGAAGTACCCCATAAACATGTTTGGGAGTACCAAGAGGGGAGGTTTTTGAAGTACCCCATAGACATGTTTGGGAGTATCAAGAGGGAGGTTTGAAGTACCCGTAGACATGTTTGGGAGTACCAAGAGGGGGAGGTTTTGAAGCACTCCCGTGAGACATGTTTGGGAGTACCAAGAGGGGAGGTTTTGAATTACCCCGTAGACATGTTTGGGAGTACCAAGAGGGGAGGTTTTGAAGTACCCGTAAACATGTTTGGGAGTACCAAGAGGGAGGTTTTAAAGTACCCTGTGAAGACAGCGTTTGGGACTATCAAGAGGGGAAGTTTTGAAGTACCCTGTAGACATGTTTGGGAGTATCAAGAGGGGAGATTTTGAAGTACCCGTAGACATGTTTTGGAGTACACCAATAGGGAGGGTTTTGAAGTACCCCTGTAGACAACGTTTGGGAGTACCAAGAGGGGAGGGTTTTGAAGTACCCCCGTGAAACATGTTTGGGAGTACCAAGAGGGGGAGGGTTTTTGAAATTACCCCATAGACATGTTTGGGAGTATCAAGAGGGGAGGTTTTGAAGTACCCGTAGACATGTTTTGGGGAGTATCAAGAGCGGAGGTTTTGAAGTACCCGTAGACATGTTTGGGGAGTACCATGAGGGGAGGTTTTGAAGTACCTTGTGGACATGTTTGGGGAGTACCAAGAGGGGAGGTTTTGAAGTACCTTGTGGACATGTTTGGGAGTACCCAGAGGGGAGGTTTTGAAGTTCCCGTAGACATGTTTGGGAGTACCCAGAGGGGAGGTTTTTGAAGTTCCCAATAGACATGTTTGGGAGTACCTAGAGGGACCTTTTGAAGTACCTTGTGGACATGTTTGGGAGTACCTAGAAGAGAGGTTTTGAAGTATCCCGTAGACATGTTTGGGAGTACCAAGAGGGGAGGTTTTGAAGTTCCCCGTAGACATGTTTGGGAGTACCCAGAGGGGAGGTTTTGAAGTACCCCGTAGACATGTTTGGGAGTACCTAGAGGGGACCTTTTGAAGTACCTTGTGGACATGTTTGGGAGTACCTAGAAGAGAGGTTTTGAAGTACCTTGTAGACATGTTTGGGAGTACTAATATGGGAGGTTTGGGGAATGTCAACAACTACAAATTATGCTTTAAATATTCATAAATATGTGATTCATAGCTCTTCACAGATAATTAAGTATCCCACTTTGCCATGAACAATATACTCAATATAAAAAAAATAGTACCGAGAGGCAATTCCCTTTTCAGCATGGACATATTTTCGTGTTTATGGGAATGACAAAGGTTGCTAGGACTGAAGACCAAATGGCAATAGTCCTTGGGCACGAGATGGCACACACCCTTCTCTCTCACGCGGTAAGTTCGACTCACCTGGCAAGACTTGCATAGCTATGGTGCTAATTGAACAAAACAGAGATTTCTATTGGTTTGGCCTCAACATTTTGGACAGTGACAATCCTGTACGAACATACGTCCAGACACAAGACCCATGAAGACCTGGGCTAGAATTGAGGCATCAGCAAGACATGCTTGTCTTAGAGGCAACTAACAGGATTGGGTTGACCAATGTTTGTATCCTAATTGTGCAGATTGAGGATCATTGGATTGTGAAGTTCAGACTCAATATTTACAAACTGAGTTGCTGAGTGCTGTGTTTAAAGGGCACTATATCATACCACACTTCTCTCAAAAATAAATTATGCATTTCTCTCATTAATGCCACAGAGCCAGAGATAACTTTTGGGGTCATTGAGTTATGTACTCACTTGTGTTCATCTCAATTGGGTATCGTAATTTTCCTTTGAGATAACCAAATAAATTGTACCCACCTCACTCAAAACTCAATTGGGCATTTTGCTAATTTGCATTAATTTTTAAAATATAAATGTAAAGTATAAATGGTATTTATATTTGATCTGTAATATGAGAAGCTTGATGAGAAGAGACTGCAAGTTGCCAAAGTTCATGTGTTGAAATAGAACCTCTCAATTTACCTCAGTTATTTTATCAATGCATGCGATGCATGAAGCTAAGATTTGACATCTTTATTGTGATGCATACGTAAGGTCAAACTTATTGAGTATTTACAAAACTTCAAAGCGTACTTGTACTCAACACGGACTTAATGAGAATTGAGTTTTCACATAAATATTTGCGTAATTTACGCTTGAATCACGCAGCTTATCTACACTCTCTGTGCTAACTATCAGCTGTCAAGGCCTCTTTGCACCCTCTACCATCTGAACATTATTTCAAAGCAAACCCTATAGAGACTTAATGTACCTTGGGGCACTCTTTACAAATATCCTCACAGCACAACTTGTGATTGGAAACCAGTTTGGCAAACACCAGAGTCTGGCCCGTGTGTAACAGTTTTTGATGTACAGAGCATATTGTTTACATTCCATATATGGCATGTGTTCTCTGTTTGGGGAAGCTGTTAAGCCTCTCGAATTTCAGTTATCAAAATTTCAGGCAGAGTTGTAAGGCCTAGTAAAAGTGTTTTAGCTTGCATCAATAGGAAGCTAGGCGAAGTGCATATGCCCCAATATATATAATATAGGCCACAATATTGTGAAAATGTGTGACATTGTGCCTTTAACAACAAAACGAACACAACACTCGTCACATAGTAATGCATCTACTCATTGTACACATTCTTTCAAGGTTACTTCTAACTCTTTCATGAGATAACCAATTTCATTGAGATGTGTCTGTCATAAACAGGGCCAAGTGTTGGTGAGGGCTGGTAAGAGTCTGCTGTCCTTTCAGGCCAGAGGGAATATGAGCTGCATCGGCTGTTTGACGTGAAATGCGATCATTGTCGGATGGGTGACCACCCGGTTCATCATGCCTCTAATGACGCATCACTTTGGTAACGAAAGTGGTTCTACAACAGGGTGTTAGGATGCTTGAGTAGTTGGTAGTCGCATTGTCATTTGTAGTTCCAGCTCGATTTTCCAGATCAGAAACATCTCAACCCAGCCAAAACCTGTTCATGCATTAGCGTTCCCATTTGCCTGATTATAAGTGATACTCGTGCATCCTGAAATATTTTGTCATTGTGGGTGCTCGCTTCTTCTATAACATTAACACCAAAATGCATCCTTTACACCGACTCCCATAAAGAAAAATGGAGTGAAATGGACTTGTCCAAGGGCACATTTCTGTGTTCTGATTTAAGCCAGGGTACTCAGTGCCTGTGTCGATAATGACCTCTTCGACAGCAGTTATGGTGACCCTCCACTTTCAGATCCCGCAGTTCACTGTTCAGATTACATCCCTTTGATGGGCCGGTTTCCGTGATTGCTGGTTGAGTTCAGAGTTGGTTAAGAAGCTCTGACTGGCGATTGAACCTGTACCCATGCTCTAACAGCTCTTAACCACAGGCACCTAAGATATTCACAACAGGCTCTCTCCAACATTGCAAACGGACATACTTTTTGATCTAGGATTGTGTCAGCTGCAGATCTTGCTGTATTTTAACCGCATAAGCCTAAAACTGGAGAAAGAGGCTCGACAAAGCGGGGATGCAACCGCTGCCAGGGTGGCTCAGCGTTATCAATCGTGAATAGGTCACTTAATTTTAAAGATACATCCTTGATTTAAAGTAAAATTGAAATATAGATTTGATGACATGGGTTTCCATTCAAAATCTACAGCATTAAGCAGTTGACAGTCAAGTGTTTCAGGGCCTGAAACGTTAACACGCTTTGAGCTCTTGAAAAACACAGGGATGTATTTCCACATGTTAAGTGGTGACAAAAAGTGCCAAGTGGCTAGGTTGGTTTAGGACTCTGCGTCTCGCTTAGAGAAAGTTTCCTTCAACAGATTGTTTCATTGTCAAAATTCATTTTTATGCAAGAACACATGAAGGTAGCCAATGTGGTGGGGCTAACAAAAGTTGGAAGTGGTTTCTCGTTAACAGTTAAACTTGGACTCATTCTTTCAGATCTAATTCATTTTGACATTTTAGGCAAGTTCTGGCAAATATGTCTGGTGGAAAAAATAATGCTGCAAGCCATGATATTATATGTGAATCAGTCCCTACCGAAAAGGAAATCTTCTATCCTCTCTATGTAGATTTGAGGACAACTTCCTAGGTGTATCACGCTAGCTGACCGTGACTGGAACCCTTTGACCTATCCAGTTCATATGAAGGATGCTAGTGGTTCTGCGCTCATCAGATGTCTTAAGGGCACAAAACCCTTTCAACTTCGCAAAACAAAAGTAAAATAGGCAAAATATTCCTTTTAATGGAAACCCGCTTTGTGTGCAAAATACATGGGTGCCTAGAAATGACTTGATAAAATGAAACATCCGTAACAACATGATGTCTAACGAATGGTTTTGTGCATTCAGAACTCCCATTATATTGGATTACAAAAAATTTAA